ATGAGACAATCCAATTCAAACACATCGTGTATTTCGTCGACAACAAACAGTTGGGACTAATTATATATTCTTATATTAATAAATATCAGCTAATTTAAAATTATTATAATTAAAAAATGGCATAAAATTAATTATACATTTAATAAAGTCCTGAACGTTAACTTTTTTTCTGAAATTATAATTATAACAATTAATAACAAGTTGTGTAAATGATGTTAGAATCATTGGGATTATTAACTTGCAAGTTTTTAAGAAGTCGTTTATAAATTATAACCTAAAAGTTATTAAAATATAATGAATACTTGTCTATGCAATCAAATTTCCTATAGATTATGTCTTTTTAATATCATTTGGCAAAGATTTTCACACGATTTGCAATGACAGCAAAAATAATAAACAAAATCTATACAACAATTTTGCGATAATTTATGTTTTGCAAATTAAATGCAAATTAGCTCGAGGTAGTCGTCCTTAATGGTTTTTTGATCATATTATATGAAGTATAGTTAACAGTACGAGAAGTTCCCTTTACTTGTATAAAGTTATTAAAATCTTATCTTAATTTTCAGCTTTTAAAAAATGTTTCACAATATATAATATTAAGCTAAATATTAATTTTTTTAATCAGAATTATAATTTAAAAAATTTATTTTTATTAATGAAATGTAAATAATGATTACAAGACTAAGACAGGAATATATGATGATTATAATTATTTTTAAATTTAAATAAATTATCAAATATATAATTAGCTGATATTTATTAATATAAGAATATATAATTAGTCCCAACTGTTTGTTGTCGACGAAATACACGATGTGTTTGAATTGGATTGTCTCATGACTTCACACCCGATATCAGTGCCGGTCTATAATCCGGATGAGATCAATGAGATCTTCGACAGAATTTCATACGGAAAGGTCTGTTAACACTATTAATACATTTGTTATACATTTGTTGGTCACAACATTATTTCTTAATCCAATCAACTATAGGGCGCATCCATTATACGAATGATGACTTACTTTCTAAATAGGGATACTTTTAAAAAAGGAGTTTCTGTAAGTTTTAACAATATTTTATTATTCAAGTAATGTATCAATACGTGTGGTTCAGAATAACAAACAATATGATAAAAAATTTACCAACAAACAATTTGATGACTGAATAAATATTTTACAGAATTATCTGAATGCCTATCGCTATGATAATGCAGTTCAGAACGATCTTTGGGATTACCTAACGGTAGCCGTGAATAATAGTCTAAACGTGAAGCGAGTGATGGACTCGTGGACACTACAGGACGGCTATCCAGTGGTGACACTAACGCGAGATTACGCCCGAAGGAAAGCGTGGTTAACGCAGAAGAGATTCTTGCTTTACGTCACCACTAATGAGACGAATGGAGTGAATAAGAAGAACTACTGGTGGGAAATACCAATCACTTACACCACCGAAAGGGATGCCAATTGGGAGCCAATCACCAAACTATGGATGACTAAAACTAACTGTAATTCAATTACTTTTTTGTTTGTTTGTGTATTTATTGTGAAAAAACTTTTGAGTTAATAACTATATATTGAATTTATGAAAGTTATGTCCCATCAAAACAATCATTGAAAAAACTTTATTGTTTACAGCATTGAAAGAATTTATGGTTAAAGAAGAAGATATTCCTGAAAAGAATGAGTGGATTATAGCGAACATACAAGAGGTCGGATACTATAGAGTCAATTATGATGTCGACAACTGGAAGCTTATAATAAGGCAATTGGTGTCAAATCACAGCAAAATACATGTCATAAATCGGGCTCAACTGATAGACGATGCGCTGGACATGTCTCGGGCACATCTACTCGACTATCACATCGCTCTCAATATAACCCAATATCTGATTAACGAGAAGGAGTTCATCGCATGGGAAGCGGCACTCAATGCCTTCTCATTCTTGGATCGTATGCTGAGAAGGAGTGCATCCTATGGTCTCTGGAAGGTATGGTATCCGTCACTCGATCTCAATAATGATCACTCCATCACTTCTCTTACGCCACTATTACTGCACATAAAACGTTAATAATTCACTACCTATTTATGTATCCCTTGTGTATAGTCTCTACACTTTTAACCAGTAATCCAATTATGATATTCCCATTTCTACTTCGCTATCATTTTCCTTATATTATTATTGTTTTCCCAGTAATTCCGCCACTAATTGGTGTAAAATTTCCAGAATATTTTGTTGCATTGAATTTTTAACGAAATTAATAATTAATTCAATTTTCACCGGAAAAAATACTCCCAAAAGTATTGTTTTATTGTTCAACGCAAACACTTTTTAATACAATTATATTTTGGTTTCAAATTAGAAAAATTTAATTTAAGTTAATTAAAGTTTGTCTATTGCTTTATAGGTATATGTATTGAATTTAATAAACAGAATATATAATGAGATCACTTGGAATGTGAGCCAAGACTCGGACACTATTTTGGACAAGTATTTGCAGATCAGTATAATTGGCTGGACGTGTAAATACGGACATTCAGACTGTGTTCAGCAGTCACTCAAACGGTTTCGCGAATGGCAGCGAAGAGTTAGAGACGGAGACTATAAGAATCCGTACAAATATTTTACACATTATTTGACTTAAGAATATACAATGTATTTGTTTTGCTCTTAGAATTCATCCCAACCTAAGAAGTATAGTCTACTGTACGGGCATTGAGTTTGGCTCTGAACAGGACTGGGATTTCTTATGGAACCAGTATTTGAATACATCGGTCGCCTCCGAAAAGGACAAACTCTTACGATCTCTGGCCTGCACTCGAGAGCCATGGCTTTTATCCCGATTTATTAGCCGCGCGTTCAACGGCTCGAGTGGTATAAGAAAACAAGACGGAAGTTATGTATTCAGAGCCGTGGCGTCGAGTAATTACGGCCGAGATATCGCTTATAACTTTCTTAGAGATCAATGGGATTTAATTGTCAAATAGTAAGTCAATTGCCATTGGATTAGATGTCTGTTTGTATTAATTGCCCTATAATTACAGTTTTGGAAAATCCTTCTTTTCGTTCGGAAGTTTAGTCAAATCTGTCACCTCTTCTATGAATTCTGAATTTGAATTAAGACAGGTTTGCATATATTGTCCATTTGTTGTGCTCTCGCAGTCCTCAGAGCAGATCACTATAAAAATAGTGACCATAATTAGTGCCTAACATTTAACACAATATAGTGTTAATATAATTAGCGAAACAAAAGCTCATACAATAATTGCATTACTTTTCTATGAATAGTTGCAAGAGTTTTATAACAGCGTGAAGGATAACGTGGGAACAGCTCAGCGATCATTCATGCAGGCCATCGAACAGACCAAAGCCAACGTGCATTGGATGCAAAGCCATTACCACGAGATCGATATCTGGCTCTCAAACACTAAGCATTTACTAATCCGATAGGAATTAGGTTTTGTAAGACTAGTCATCATATTGTTTGCCGAAACAAACATTTTCTATATAACTATGTTATACAGCATTTCATTATGCTTCGCATTTAATTCATTTAATCATTAATACTATTTGAATCGAGAATTCATTGAATTATGTTTATTATTTAATTAAGACTCGATATAATCATCAAATTAAACCCCTATGTGAGGCATTAATTCAACTCTTTTTCATTAATTAACATTCAATTTGCGGACTTTTAACGACTTTTCAATAGAATCTATGTCTATATTCTTCATTAATTTTATAAAAAGGTTTATTTAATTATTTTTAATTGCAATTAAATACGTTTAATATAATTAGGAATATTTAGTAATTCATATCTCGTTTATAAACACTGTATAATAAAATTCATTATTCGCACCAAAAAATAAGATTTATTTAGTTTCAAACACTTTATTAAAATATAAGCATAAAATCATTTCGAAGGAGTCGTTGGATTCACTCTCTTATTTGCGGAGCGAATGATCGAAAACTTATATAAATGTGGAAACAGTACTCTTCGCGGACCTCTCCTTTTGCGCTCAATTTTCACTGTTTTCTCCGTTTTGTTCACTTCTTTCGCCAACTTTTCGGTTCGTTTGGCAATTGGTCTCAGAATAGGTCTCACAACAGGTTTATTAGCCTTTGGGACACCATTTGATTCTTTGATTGTCTCCTTTTGTGTCACTTTTCTGGCGTTTCTAAGACTCGTGATGTCCGGCAAATCAATCACTTGACACTTGTATTCAATGCCACTCTCTTTCAGCTTACTCTCCATCTCATGGACTTTTTTCA